AACACGTCCGCCTCCACGTTTGTTTGTTTTTTTGCTAGAAATCTCCACTTGCTATGTAGATAGTTTGCCTTCGCAATAGGATTGTCAGATTATCGATTTCTCTTTCTATTTACGCTGTAATTCGTAACAGATGTATAAAATTCTTTGGGCCACGTTCTAATATATTAATTGTGTCATGTTTAAACAGTATTGTAGTACCTTGACACATTGCAGGTGTATCGACTTCTTCTTCAAACTGATCGCATTGACCCAATTTATTCTCAATTCTATAGGACTTTGAGTGTTGCAAACTTTGAACCACGCTGGTCTCTTCCACCACAGCAGTTTGTTTTCTAATTCGTACTTCGTGATTTTTCATGAGGCTGCGTTGTCCGTCGTTCCAACTAATCGAAACCCTTTTCCAGGTGTTCATTTGATACGATTAACAATGAATGTCACGAGTTGTTTTCTCGACTGTACGTATTTGAGGATGCACTGTAAGTCCGTCCAAATCTATCAATCGATATTCAGCTTCATTCTTTCTTGTATTCTGTCTTGTTGTTGTCTTCCGCGTTGACAGTTGTAAAACCTCGAGCTGGGGTGTCGACAGGTTTTTGAGTGGCGCCATTGGTTTTTTACGTGCAGTATCCACGGTCATGATTTCACCCATTTTAAAAGTATACGTAAGTTGATTGACGATGTGTTTGCCATTTCTGGTGCGTCACAGTACTTGTACATCTCGTATTGTGCATCTTTTCCGGTTGTGTCAATCCATTGCGGTACGGTGATTGTTGTGATTCCGGAAATGTTTTCCGCCATGTTTTTTCATTCATGTTAATTGCTCAAATCGAGTGCATTATCCCAGTGCATTTGTTTTGACAGCTATAGTTGCATAACTTATTTGGCCTTGACAGTTATTGGAGACATCAACTCGAGAGATTTGAAGTGAGATTCGCAGGAATTGCATCTCTTACTTCAATCGAATTATTTGCTCATTTCCTTATATATTTGGATGCTTCATTGCTCATGAATTTAGCATTTTTGTACAATTCAATGGCCTTTCTTACATTCTTACACCCTGTAATCATATTATTGATGTATAAACTCCCTGTAATCATATTATCTTCACTTTTGCTTTGCAATAGGATCAGTGCAATTCTGACGGTTTATTGAGGCAGCTAACAAGACGGGACTGGAGATAACTTTAAAGAGGACTCGTTAAAACTTGTAGACTGGTATGTTCTAATTTCTCGCCAGTTTCATCAGATTCTTGAGCCGTAGGAACCTAGACTTGTTATGATCGTCAATTTGGTAACTCGAGTTGGAATAAATGCAATAACTACTATCATTACAATTATATTGATCCGGATTAATAAATTGAGAAATGTCTTCAAATAACACTGGTCCGCGACACAAGTATTTAAGAATCTTTTCTCATCATAACACAGCCGTCGTTCACGATCTCGCCTTGATAGTCTTGTCGAGAGTAATGACTGGGTGATGAACAAGACAATGGATGTTTAGCCCCTTCTTCACGTTCTATAACGTGTCGTCCCGTCAGTAACTTTTGTCTCGTTCATTCCCTCTCTTTACGATTCAATCCGATTTGTACAGACTTGAGCTGTCCCTGGGCTAACTCATACTTGTTAGTGATGGGTTTTTTCGTCACAATATTACCATTTGACTTGGTAATGATCGTTGATGTACCGTACAGTTTCTTTAATATAATCTGGAGCATGAAAATTTAGGTATCCTTTATTCGTTTGACTTTCTCTAGTGTTGCTGCAAGTTTCAACTTCCCTCATTAAAAATGTTTCTGCTTTTAGTTCAGTGCATTTGAAATTTCACTTTTTGTGAATCATTGCCTTTGATGAATTCATGATAGTTATCAGATTTTTCGTAATTCACTGCGCATTCACAGAGCGAATTTCATCAGCTTCTACCTTCAGTTGTGTTAAGAACGTGAACGTTGCTGAAGGGATGGCTGGATTTTCATAAATGTTAAATGAAAACTGTCCTAGAAGTCAGATCACGTCAATTACGAAACTCCTAAAATTCCATTTTAGGATGCCTGGTCTGACTTACTTCTTTACAGAATTTTCCTTCGATTTCTGCTTATAGTCGTTGGTCAGTAAGTCACCTCAGATCACTAATATCTGCATCAGGTTATTCCTGCTCCACTTGTTATTATATTTTAATTTCTTTCATTATTTTTTCCTCGTTGATCTGGTGTATTTCTGCATTTCTTCGTTATTTGTTTTCGAAGGAATATTTTTTTTCTCGTTTCAAACAACATTGATTTTCTTCATACATTTTCAGTTTTTGTATTTTCTTGAATATCGATAGTATTTCTAGAATATAAGCTCTTTCAAGATTTTCACTTTTTCTTAGTTGTCTGCATTAGTCATCTTTATAATCTTTGTCTAGTTTATTAATAAGATATTTCAGCATCGTTGTCTTTTCTTTCAATTTTTCGGCTTGCAATGATAAAAAAATGACTTAAAATAACAATTTCAACTCATCAAATAACACTTTTTAATATTTTCTTCGGGCTTTACACTTTGACACTTGTATTTCATACCAGCCCTAACTACTGCAAAATCTCCCCTACACTCACTCTCGCGGCCACTCCGCAATTGTTACCCTTTGCCATAAGCGGCTGTTAGAAGCAACTCACAAAAATCAATGCGGAAATGGGCCTTTAGGCAGCCGTCGTAGTGGAGGATCCCACAGGATAAAGGTGGAAGACCGGGACATGGTGTCACAAAGCGCCAAGCAAGTGGTAAAATAATTAAATATTAAAAATAAATCAATATTTGGTCGGTAAAAAAGGGCATCAACAGTATGCTATATCTAGCTCTGACAATGGTCCCGATATCATAAAAAATTAGACATTTTTAAGGTAGAGTTTTCGAAACAGATTTTTGAACACTCACCTCTGAAGTTAACTTCACGGAAGTTTCATCATATGAAAAGCCTCTCATTTACAGGATAGGTCGAGAAATTTCTTAACAAGCGTGTAATGCCATCGTAATATGCAAACTCCAAATGATGTCAAGTATAGTAATGCTGGGAAATGTAATAACGTCTGTTTCTCTCCTACTGCGACTCCTTCACTAGATGTATTACCAACTTCACTGCCATCTTTTGTTTCAGAATGCGATCTTTCTCGCGACGGTGCCGACTTGCCGCTGTGGCCGAGAAGGGGGAGGCAGCCCGCGTTAAGGGAGGATGACAGAGTCGGAGTTTTCTGAAAAGTTTGTAAGTATGAAGAACAGTTATTTATTCGCCTAGGGCATTATAAGGGTTCTAATGATTGAACGACAAGAAATAGCTTCAGAGCCTGTGGCCCAATTGATTTATTTGTATATAATTATGTATTCTTATTCGCTTGTTTACTAATTAACTAGACGTCCCGGTTCGTCGTTTCATATCCCTCCCATACTTCCCTTTCGTAATTCCCTCTAATGATTCCATCCGTGAGGGAACATGCAACATCATTCAACTGTCTTCATATTTCCCTCGCAACCACGATCCTCTCAATTCACGTAAGTTACGCAGAGTAAATCGAGGTCCGTATCAAAGACAATAAAAATCCCTGATCAGTAAAACGTACCAGAAAAATTAAATAATTTGCTTCATAAAATATTTAAAACGATGTAAATTGTATTCACACGTAAGTGTGCAATAAATATTGTAAGCACATTGACCCCGAAGTAAGGTTTCGGAATACTATCAATTTCGTTCGAAGAAAGTTCCACTTCACGATTTTTATTGTGGAATGTTATTTCTTGTACACAATCGTCTTTACTGTTCATCTTGCAATGACTCAATGCTTTATTAAGCTTTTGTAGTTAATAGTATTTATGAAATCCCCGAGAATGCAGCCAGCAATCTTAACGGTGCTTGCGTTGAGAAGCTGTCCATTCCAGATAAAAGGGACGTTGTTCCGAGAGGGTGCCGTTGATGATAAGATGATAGTGAGACGATGAGGGTGCCAACAGTTCGAACAACGATCGAAGACGAAACTCCGGAACGCGCACTGTGTGAGGATGAGAAATCCCCAGTACTGCCACAAGACGCTGTTTTTCCTAAATCAATTTTATCTGCATTACGATACGTGTTATCCCATGTTGGGCCTTATAAAACGGTAAAAACTGAGTGAAAATAAGATCGCGATATTGGCTGAATTCATGTAAAGGTTGCATGTGTACCTTTTGTTTAAATACGGAGCATTCACGACGTTCCAAAAGTAGCACCATTCAACTCGACCAGGTATATCTGATGATTAAAACTAACTAAAATAATTAAAAAACTTGCACAGAAAAAGTCACATTTAATTATTTGGCAATCTTGCAAGATTATAAAAATGTAAACCGCCGCACCCTGGGACTTGCACAGTAGGCGGCCATTACGAACGCGCGTGCAAGAGGAATTGCATACCGACAAGAACGCAGGGGTCTCTCTACAAAGGTCAAACCATTCGATTTTTAGTCACGCAGTTACATTCGCTCGGCGGAGAAATAAACAGATGCTTCGGCAAGCGTTTTTAATTGCCGTTTAAAATTAATACCGGGCGTCTTTTCGCGAGATTATGTCTGCGATCCCAGCTGCTTTTTGACTTTATTTAACAAATGCTCTTAAATCATTGTCGAATCGAATGATTTTATAATGAAAAACTGAAGAATATTCATTTTTTCTGCTACCATTCAATATGCCTGGAAGAGACTTCTATATTTTTAGACGTTAAACACGTCATAACCTACAGGTAAAATCCCTCAAGCCCACGTAGGTGGCGCCGGATCTGCCATCAGCGGGGTGAAGATCACCGCCACCCCGATAAAAACATAACTATTCTTACGAGACAAATGATCTTAGCATTGACGCGCCCGAAATCACCAATGTATCAAAACTAATGACCTTAGGGGCGTCAAGTCAGTTCGGTCATTGCCTTTAGCGAGTTTCCCATCGATATTTTTGCGTGGTTTCACATCGTCTCCATTGCATTCTTGCACACTTACCTGCGGTTGGAGAGCGGTGGCGCGGTGCGCGACGGCGGACCGTGGGCGCGTGGCGACTGCGGAGGACGGCCGCTCCGGTAGTCGGCATGCCCCGCTCCGCCCGCCCCGCCCGTTTCGGCCCGCCCTCCCCCTTCTCTGCCGCGCGCGGCTCGCCAAGGTTGCGTAAGGTGGTCCGTCCTTGCCCCGCACTCAGCACCAGCCGCGCCGCGCCGCGCCGAGCCGCGCCGCGCCGCCCCTGCCCCGCCCCCCAGCGCGGCTCGGCGCTTCGCTACGCTCCTAGTTATTGCTTTGTTCATGCCATTGTGTAAGTTTGAGAGATTGTGTGTTTATAGCTATTTGCTTCTGAGAGTAAAAACTGTGCAAAATTCTTCCCAATGTAGTGTTTCTTGCCGTGGAAAAGTAGCACGAGTAACTTGTTATTTAATAACCTTGGTTTTTAAGCTGAACAGAGTAGCTCGTAATAGACTTAACAGGGCGAAGGAAAGTCGAAATTGAGAAGTCGTTGCGTCTGCTATGAGCAAACGAAACAAAGAAGCGATTTACTTTACGACTTGTTGCGTCATCCCATAAGAAGTGCGAGAAAACGGCTGTGGGTGCGAAGAAGAGCTGCCTAGGCCGACCGGGCGCGTGTCCTTCGGTGGTGACAATAGGAGGACAGGCGGATGGCTTCGGCGCCATCTTCCTCGCTAGGCGCAAATTGCCCGCACGGCCTCCCCGGGCGCGCTGGCCACGCTTCCGGGCGCCACCGGCCGGCCTTCGCCCCGCCTCCCCCTCCCCGCCCCCGACCGTCCCACCCTTGCACGCACCGCGCGGATGCGGGCATTTCCCAGCGGAAGCTCTGCGCCACCTCAACCGTTACGTATATTTTGCGAGCGGGATAAAGAGTTGAAAGCCGGATAACAGACAGTAGGGAGGTTTTGTTACCGCGCAGCATTAAAGCAATCGACAGCACTATCGATTTTCTAGCACGTATACTTTGTTTCGTATCACTTTTATGTATCTGCGCGTGCGCAGAAGAACGAGATTGCAGTCGATTGCTGCCCGCTAAGGCAAAAAGTGCAAAAACTATCAAACGACTGCTTTTTAATTCGCTGTTATTTCTGATGTCTAAAAAAATCTAAATTCTAAAGGTTTTTCTAGCGACGACATATTTCATGCACAGGTAGAGATAGGTGCTGTGGTGCATCATGCTATTGTTCATTTACTCATCTAACCAATTATTTTTTTTATTAATTCCTGTCCAATTAAATATTTACGCGATGGTCGGTACATAATGTGTCGAAATTATCTGCATTTATTTCGAGACCGTTTGCAAACTTGTGCTGATCTATGAACTACACGCGATCCATGACGAGTTAAATTGTAAGTGTATTGAAAAGTTATCGTAGACTTTCAAGAAGTCAGGGAAAGTCCGGGATGTTAAAAAAGTGTTGATTATGGGCGAGGAAGGGCCGGCATTTAAAACAGAGGGGCTCTGGCAGCTTCGTTGCAGAGACCACCGCTGTAGTACGGCGTACGGAACTACGCCAATAAGGCGATTTTCAAAAACACTCTTTACATTTTTGAGGGTACTTTAAATAAAGTCCAATTTGACATTTTCAAAATTTTCTAAAAATTGCTCCATTTTTTTCTTTACATTTCTTGAAATAATAGAGTGAATTACACTTATAAAGATGAGATATGCCCCATTTTCAATGTTAACTTTAAATTTTGGAAAATTCGTACAACTCGTACAACTTTACTACTGAGGATGATGATTTGTTTCCTCAAATGAAATTGTGTTCTTCATAATTAGTTTTCTAATTATTATCATATACTTGTTGGAAATGTTAGTAGTTTTCGGGCAATTTTTTGTGAAATACGAACAATCTTAATGAACAAGATTTTATCTCAAACGGCTAAAAAGGTTTTCTTTATAATACAATCTTGTATGTTTTCTGATTACTTCAGTAAATATTTGGCCGTTTCTTCAACTTTCTTGAAAATAAATATGAACTGTTTGTCTTTCAACTGAGCGTTGCCTCCCTTTGTCAGTTTTAAGTTAGCCCTGTTAACATAACCGTGAACATATTTCTAAAGCGTGTGCGTTGACAATGTTATTCAACTCTCGATCTTCTGGAATGTGTTTGGGAGGATAAAACCTTCAAAAAATGTCACCGAAGGTCTTTGACCCTCCCTCTTGAAATGCGCTGAAGAACGTCTCTCGACTGATCCTATGGAGATTATCTCCCGCCTGTGGAGTTCCTGGAATCAAGAGACGAAGAACGTTTCGCGTCACGATTCTATTAATTCTAGATCACTGACTCTTCTAGCTCCGAAGCGATGTCGCACTGTGTCACATTTGCCACGGTAATCGTGTTTATTAAGCAATATCCAATAATTAATAACTCCCGAATAGAAAAATTACACTATTATATGATTCACGGAAATTTACAATCAAAGGAAGTTCAACGTTTAAACAAAATTGATATGAATCGAGAAAAGGAATCGAATACAGATTGACTAAACAACGAGTGATCGAAGCTTGAAAATGTATGCGTTTGAAAGAGGATAAAGAGGTCCAATAAAGTCGTGTAAAAAGATTCAGGCGCAAAACGATCCGAGAAAAAGATCTGAATCATGCATAAAGGTGATAAAATTACGTTTAGATACGAGAGCACGGAGAAAGAAGATAGAAGAGATGGGTAGATGGGGAAGAACACACATGACAAGAACAGACAAGAACTGATTCATATCTTCGGCTGAGCTGGCATCTTTGAACACGAAAAGGAAGGAAGGCAATGCAATACCATCTTAGGAAGGAAGTGAAAAGATGTTTTCCTGCAAAGGCAAGCTGACAGACACGGACCGTCTTGTGTTTCCGTGTCCTGAGCTACTTACAAAAACAATCAAAATTTTAACAACGTTTAGTTCTTGAGTGCACAAATGAAGAAATACGAGATATAAACTTGTAAGGTAATTGGTGGTGATACGAGTATTCATTGAGTGATTTTAGCGGGCAGTATACCCCTGTTCAATGACATGCAAAACAGAATACAAAATACGTTTCATTAAGTGATTTTTTTAAAATTCTGATTTTTTTATAAAATCTAAATGCTTTACAAATATTGTTTAGCAAGTCATTTTAATTTGAAATTAAATTTAAGAGTTTAGAAATAAAAATAAATTGTAATGCAATGAGACAGTCCAGCACATCAAACTTCCGAAAATAATTTTGGAAACGGAGTTACCATTCAATGTTTGTGTCGAAAAATATTGCCTCTTCTTTTAGTTTTATCGGTTTCTTTTCGACGATTCTCCAGAAAAATAAGTGTGAGATTCTGTCTGTTGGTCTTTTCTTGGCACGACAGCATGGTCTACCAGCAGCGTCCCGGCCTAGCGGGCGAGCCTTAAGGGGTATAGCGTGTGTTAAGTTGTATGTGGTTAGCAAGAAGACATCCCTACACCGTATTCTGGTCTTCTCAACCTCAGAATCTTTTTTCTCATCGTCACATAGCAACTATACTGGGGCATTTCAAGGAAAACGCACCCTATAATCTTACCCGACCGAGAATCGAACCAGTGGTCGCGTCATGGAAAGCGATCACGCTGACCAACGAGATTAAACCGCGAGGGAAAGACTGAGATTATTCTACATAATTCGTCGTCTTCTCTCAGGAACGGGTAATACGGAAGAAGGCCTTTAAGTATTTACGGACCCATAATATTTATGTTGTTAGTGCGAACTGAACATACAGTCCCGTGATTGTAACCTTAATTCCAGTAGAGGGAGAATGCAATGGAGGCATTCACCATGAATGGGTCAAACAATCTTAAAAATATATCTGACGTATCTAAATTGTGATAAATTTCGTTAAGTTTGATTAAACATATTATATCTTTACTTTTCTCCTTTTAACTCAATAACTTAAAGAAACCGATAAATCATTGATTGATTACGGCGTGTTTCCGCCATTACGACGTGCATCAACTGTTATGGTCATTACCCCCGTAAGTTCAATGCCTATTTTATGCATTTTTTATGACGGGAGGTGGTGATCCCACTAAATGGTGAGATCTGGCGCTGATGTAACCAAGTATCTCCCAAGATCGGAACACCTCCCCAGCTGGTACAAGTTCTAAGCTATCGACTGGTGTTCCTACATCTCTGGTAATAGACGTTTAGTGTAAGGATAGTGTTAGGTTAGTTGAGGACGAAGAAGAGATGATCTCGCGCAGCCCAAATTCCGTTTGATAGGGTACTGCTTCGGCATTTGCCTGGTATTGTTCGGAGAAATCATGGAAAAACTACCGATCAGAGAAGGCGGATGCTAGAATTCTACTGCAGGAGGCGGCAGAATTCGCCGGTTTGAACCGTAAGTCCTCCCGGTCAGAGGCACTCCAGGAACATCAGTTGATGCTCTAAGCCACCTAACGAGGTGAAAAATATAACATGCCACCTAAGCCGATAAAATTATTAGTGCCATCCCAGGGGAATGAGGGTGTCACGGTGGATTGCTGAGGGGTGCTGAAGGCGAGGAGTGTGACATACTGCATATGAGAACGGCATACTGCAGCGGTGGTCTCTGAAGCGAAGCAGCTAGTCCAGATGAACCGAAGAATATGCATTTTGGCAAAATCCCTACGACTAGTTTAGGTGCTAATGCTATTCACATATGGACAGACTTTTGAAAAGAAAATTGTTACCAGGGGACCCTAAAAGAACTTTCCCGTGAAAATCTAGAAATATATTTCTGCAGCATTATATATCTAATATTTCGAATATTATTCCATACATCCATACGTACATATAAGAGAAAAAAATCATATGTACATGTGCGAAAATGTCGCACTTTGTGTTCTGTGTGGCACAGACTTAAGTTCCCTTTTGCTCCCTCGTAGAAAAATAATCTACCCTGGCTAAGAACGACTCTTATATATATTTGAGTATTTCTTTACAATAGGTAAATTGGAAAAAGTATTTGCTTAACTGAAATATACTGTGAGTATTTCACCTTTACAGTATCTTTTCGCATTTACATAGTACATTTTGAAATCCACTTTCTATCAGTAGACACCCCTCACAAGGCCAAGAAAACATGGAATTATGACATGAATACACTTTCTCTATCAAACCATTTACGATACGCGATCTTTCACACCCAACCAAAAATAAAAGAATCCATTAATTCGAAGGGGGAAAAATAATTTCGAGAACCATACTGACTGACTTCGTCTCCATATGAAGTATGTAGGCCACAATAAAAGAAGACCACAGCTAACACAATAGTCGATTTAATGAATCTGCACTGTAGATGATCATGATGAGAACACCTTCTCCTTTCCTTGCCGCTGGAAGAAGGGGGGATGCGACAACTAAACATCAATGTTTCTATACATCGATACTAAAAATTAAAATATCAGTGTTAATAAAACATCGACCCTAAACCATCGATATTTTAACACATTGATGATTTAAAATGAAATTAGTAAACATTGACATTCAGGCGGCCGAGAGTTTTATTTTGAAAGTAATAGAGTTTATTAATTTTAATTGAGATTTCAGTGGCAAAACAAAGTCAACAAATCATGAAGACAATTATCGAAACAGACTATCTCATTCGATAATTTACATCAATACAGGTTTCTTTATTGCAGAAATTCCAATTTAGCTATTTTCACTCTTCGTCACATTGGTC